GTAGCGGCTTAGGGGAAGGACGGCATGGCCGCGCCCCGATGATGCCGGAAGTCTGTCGTGACGTTAGGGAAATGGTGCGTGGCCTAAGGATAACGCTTAGCCCTACGCACGAAAAAAAGAGAAATCTCCAATAAACACCCTGGACTGCCTGAGTATTGGAAGGAGAAATTTCTTGCGAACACAAGGGGGAATCGGGAATCTATGCTTGCGACAGTTGACCAGCGAGGCTACCACCCAATGCAAGGGTTGAGCTACATCCCCAATGTCAAGCTCTCTCGCCCTATTGACCCATCCCCATCCATACCAAAGAACTAGGTGGGGGTGGCCCCGGGACGAATGACCCCCGCCCTGAGCTTGAGCGTGGGCGGGTCGAGCCAAATGGGACCCGTCAAGGGTCAACGAAGGCTCGAAAGTCTACCGGGGTTCGGCCCGACAAAAATGGTGGAGGTGTCGGGTATGGGTTAAACTGACCCATACGATCTCGAGGGGGGCGCCCGACACATGTGCGCGAACATAACTCAAGAGAAGGAACGAGGACTTGTGTATGCTCTATTCCCTTGAGAGAATCAGATTTGAGGGCCGTTGGGCGCATGGCAAGGCCAGACCTGGAGGAATAACATGTGTGATGTGCACTTATTTAGTCGCCGCCTCGTGGGGAGTCCTCCTTCTTCCGGGGCTGGTGTTCGCCAGTCCGGGGAAGCCTTGGGCAAGCCGCAAGTCGACCCTTCCTCTTCGTCTGAAAAAAGGGCTCCGGTTACCTGGCAGGCGGTTGGTGCTCGGCCTAGGCCGGGTTCCAATAAAAATCTCGCGGCGGAGTGATCTGACCGACATGGGTTCCTTCTTCTCTCTTCTTCGGAGCCCAGCGGGCTCCTTGCACTTTCACATGAAATGCTTGAAGGAACCTCATATCAACAAAATGGTAATCGAGAAGGAACAATCCCGCCCTATGAACGGACACACAAATGAAGATGAGGGGAATGAAGGGAGTTGCTAGACTCCAAAAAAATTAGCTCACCTTTGAAGATGCTCACGAAAAGGAATCGGGCACGATGTATGGATACTAGGGGTGAGTGGCACACACGGTCCCGAGAGAAAAGCATGAGGCAGGGATAGGAAGCGCTGGGAGCACCATGTGAAAAACACTTGTATTGTATGTGTCCCACTTGGGACTTGTGGTTTGCATGAATGGGGAACTGAGCGTCCTGCCATTTCGGAAGGAACGGGTGGGTCTGCACCGGCTGGTGCGGGTTGCGAAACGTCATTTTCTTCGGGTAAGCTATTGGGCTTTCATGTGCAAGGTTACGCCACCGAACCGTTGGGCGGGTCTTGGCACGCCGGTTGATTAGTAGCATTCTCACCCATGGTGGGCCCGAGCTTGGCTCGGCGCCTTGCCCAGGCGGGATGCGAAACGTCTCCTCAAGTGGGGCCTGACCTGTTGACGGGCGGGGGGGGGGCGTTGCATGTGGGGCCCGGAGAGAGCTCCGGAGGTGATTAGTAGCCTCTCGCGATACGACGGTAAAGGCTGATTCTTATCGGACCGATGGATGTGAATGCCCGGACGGTTGACTTTCGTCCCTACCGTGGTATGCGGGGTGATTCCCGGTGCCAACGGGGGTGTGCAAGAGCGGCAAGATGGGATGGGGTATTCTCGGCAAGAAGGTGAGGGTGTCCCCCCACTGGAGTCTGGGTACCTCGCTCGCGACGGTTGAGTTGTGCTTGAGGTACGGGATAAAACTCTGCCGATAGTACAGTGGAGAGACCACTTTTGGGAAAAAGCCGGT